CCCAATCCTGATTTCTGGTGGTGGATTGCCTCACAAGGAGTAACAGGACAATAGATCTTCTGTATGTTAATGTGAAAGAAGCATACAGAGTCACCGCCGTCAACTGTTCTTAACCTGGTTTGTGTCCAGCCACAGTACACCCCTTTATTCCAAAGGCAGCTCAATGTCAAACTCAGGAGTTAGACTCCAGAAGAGTATGAACTGAGAGACTGCCTTGACATCACAGACTGGGATGTACTACTGAGTCCAGATGATGAGGACATCGAGGGAGCTACCCACTGACGGATTATCTAAATTTTTGTTTGGATGTTGTTGCCCCTGCAAAGACTGTGCGGTGTTACCCTAATAACAAACCATGGGTAACACAGGAAGTCAAAGCTGTCCTCAACAAGAAGAAGGAAGCCTTCAGGAGGAACAACAAAGAGGAGATGAGAGCAGCACAGACAGAGGTGAAACGCTAGCTGAAGGAGGCTAGGGACACCTACAGGAGTAAAGTGGAGAAGAAACTGCAGCAGAATAACATGAGGGAGGTCTGGGATGGTGTGAGAACCATCACAGGCCATAAAGCTAAGACCAGCTCAAAGGAGGGGGAAGTGGAGAAGGCAAATAGCCCTCATTGCAGCTTCCTCTGCTCCCTCTCTCAGTGGCCTACCACCCGAGCTCCACCACATTATACCTCCCTCCTTCCACTCTGCCAGTACAAACACCACCTTCAACCTGCCCACCTGCAAGTCCTCTACTCCCATCCCATAACACCTACCTCCCAACCTCTCCTTCTCTCCTCTCCTCTTCTCCTCCTCACCTCTTCTATCCCCTTGCCCCCTCCTCTTTACACTCCCCCCTTCACCACATCCCTCTTCACACCTCCCATTGCCCCCCATCACAGCCGACCAAGTGAAGAGAGAAACAGAAGGCAGCAAGCCCGGACAAGGTGTGTGAGGCTACTGAAGACCTGCGCTGCTGAATTCGGGGAGCTGCTTCAACGGATCTACAACCTGAGTCACCCTATACACCTAGGACTTCTGGTACAACTCTGAGCCTGCAGATGACACAGCCATTGTGAGGTGTATTAAAGACAACAATGTTTGGCCATAAGGTAAAACCATTATCGTTTCATCTCGCTCCGATGTCTGCGAACTACACGATCTCAACTACATAAAAAATAATTAGTTACGTTAAACTTAAAGCAAAAAGTCAATCGCAAAATATCCTGCCCTTTTTTTTTTATGGCATTTTATAAAGAACTAGCGTCTTCAGGGCGCAATAAGATTTTGGTTCACGAGCGGTGGCACGGTTCGACACGTGATTGTGCTAGACCAATCAAGTAGCTGATTGATGTCAACACTTCTGGCAACACGGCTGCCTCCATGGTTTTACTTAACATTACCGACAGAGAGGAATTCTCCCAAAAGTCTTCTAAAGTGGGCCAAATGGATTCTAAACAGTGCATTATACATAGAAGAACAATGAGGAAAATAGACGATAAGGTGAACTTTCAATGTTGTCATTTTAATCAATAAAAGGAAGTAATCAATGACAAGGACCATTTGTTCATTTATTCGCTCCAAACTAAATACAACACTGAGCAATCATAAAAATTTGTTTTATTAAAAACATATATACATGCAGCATATACAATATATAAAACAATACAAAACAGCATAAGAAAATGACTGGTAATATTAACCATGCAACAACTGCAATACAACTCTGAGGCTACACATGACATGTTAGTCTTCACTTTCAGTGTCAGGGCAGTTGTCATTCTCCTTCTCCTCGATTTCATGTTTGTTTGCACAGCTGCAACATCTACACAGGAACACCTACCTGTCTCACAAGCACTCTCCCTGCAGCTGCAGTGTATGACATGCAAAACACTGTTAGGGGCTGGATTTCTTGTTATCCATGTGACATGAAGGTTTCCATCTTCTAGGTGCCAACTGTATCTAGCAGCTGGTAGAGCACCTATATTTTGTTTGACACAAGACCTCATGACTGCAGCCTGATAATTTGCCCTTTTGCAGTGGTGAGGGAGGGCATCACTTGTAGGGGGAATAGACAATTCTGGCCCGGCTGATGATGCCATAGAGAAAGCCTTGTACCTAGCCTCACTGACATTTTTAGCATCTGGCTGATCATTAAGGTGGCATACATATTTGCAAAGTAGTGCAAATGTTGAGTGATCCAAGTTAAAATTAGCACCCAGATTTTTAGGCCTTTAAGCCTTAAGGTACTCCTTCTGCTCACATGCCACAGAAAATGTCTTTCTTTTGCCTTTACCATAAAAGGCACCTGTGGAGGCTGAACACACTGGTTCCGAGAGCTGATGACACCTTGGTCAATGATCCATGTCCTGTTGCCCATCCCGTAAAAAAATATAAGCTGCATGGTATGATAATGATAATAATAATAATAATAATAATAATATGCGTTTTATTTCATAAGTAAATGTGTCTGCAGACTTACAGCAATGACTGCCACATCAGTGCCAGGGCTCTTAATGATGACAGTTGTGTGCTCCTGTGCAGCATGCAAAAACACCCTTGTGTCACATTGTTCATGATCACACTACACCCTCCATTACAGTCACACAGTGACATTGATCCCTATGTGTTATGTAAAAGCTGAGGTTTTTGCCCACTCCTGTAAAGTCTGCATTACGATGTATACATTTTTCTTGCATATTATGCACATGGCTGGAAGGACAGGGCCAGAGCTCACGATGGGCAGGCCTGACCTGGGTCTAAGTTTCTTTGTTGGACACGGAGTCGTCCTGCTCGATGTTGATGGGATGGCCTCACTTCTTGAGCGTTTTTCCGTACCCTCCATCCTCTCACGCTCGAGACGCCTTTGCACTCTTGTCAATAAACCTCCAGTAGCTCCAAATCAAGGCAGTGTTTGTAGTTTTCAGCTACGTATCGACACTCACCCCTTAACCCGAGCCACCGTTGTAGACTCTTCTTGTACGTATTCCAGCGTGTGAGAGTGAAGTCCTGAAATTTTTGTGCCCTACAGAGGCTATGTGCATATAGCATGGTTTGTCTCCAGAAGATTTAGTTTGTTTACTCATTTTTGGTGAGTTTTCCTCTTCTTCGGTATTGTTAAATGAAACTCAGGCAGCCATCTTGCTTTTATGTCTACCAAAAGCTCATCCCCTATTGGTGTACTCTGGTCACGTGTCGAACCGCGCCACGCATAGAACGCTAGTTCCTTATAATAATATGTCTCGATATAAAAAATGGGCAGGATATTTTGCAACAAACTTTTTGCTATAAGTTTAACGTAACTTGTTATTTTTTATGAAGATCGGTAGTTCGCAGACATCGGAGTGGAATTCAATTTCTAAAGGACTTTTCGTGGTTAACCTTACAGCCTCTGTATGGTAAATCCAATCACCTGCATTCAACACCTCCAAGACCAAGGAGCTGGTCATAGACTCTGTGAAATCCAAAAAAAAACTCCGACCAGTTTATATCGAGGGTCAGGGGGTGGAGGTCGTGGAGACCTACAAATACCTTGGGCTGTGGTTGGACAACAAGCTGTACTGGGCACACAACAGTAGGCAGCTGTACAAGAAGGCCCAGAATAGACTGTACTTCCTGTGGCGGGTCAGGTCTTTCAACATCTTCAGGAAACTCCTGAAAATGTTTTACCAGTGTGTAGTTGCCAGTGTAATTACGTATGCTGTGGTGTGCTGGGGGAGCAGCGCATCAAAGAAGGACTTACACAGATTGGAGAAGCTAATCTATTATACTTGCTCATAAATGAAAAAATGATTAGGAAAAATGTGTTTGCCAACACTATGCATAAATCTATGCCGTTGCCACTGTTCTGCTTTTTGTATGTATATCTTCATGCACAAATTATCTTTGGTAGCGCAGTGGTTTGATGTTCACTGTTACGTCATCCTCCAATACTAACTCTTCACTATTATTTATTTCCCTTTACTGCACAGTTTCTTTAGTTAAATTAA